CCCCCCCAGACCTCCCTACTCCCTGGGGCCTCAAGTGTCTCCAGGGTTAAGTGCTTCTTCTCTCATTGAGACCAGACCAGGCAATCCTCTGCTGAATGTGTGTGTGTCAAGGCCTCACATCAGCTACTACATGCTTCCTAGTTAGTGGTTCTGTGTCTCAGAGATCTCAGGGGTCCAGGTTAGTTGAGACTGCTGGTCTTCCTATGGATGAGGTCACCCTCCTCCCCAGCCTCCTCCAGCCCCTCCCCAATTCAACCACAGGAGTCCCTGGCCTCCATCCATTGAAACCCCGAGATTTTTAACCCTACGAATGCCCTCCTATTTTTGCTTATGTCGTCTGTTTTCTATTCCTTCTCATCCCCTTTCTATGTTCATCTAAATCTGACCTTCAAAACTCCAAAACACCACTTCCTTAGTGAAAAATGCCCCTTTCTTCCCAAGCAGAAGTAATCATTTCTGCTCTATGCTCCCGTGCCTCTCACCGGTTTCTACCATAAATTAGAACCTCTGAATGGCTGTCTCATTTCCCTGGCTCCGCTGTAACTTTCAAGTCTATACCTGGTTTACTTACCATTCTCTTCAGTGTCTAGCACCTTGTCGGCAATCAACATAATGTCAACCTGCATTTGTTAGTGAATAAATTAACAATTTTAAAAAGAAGATTTAAAAAGGAAATGTGTTTAAATTTTTTTCTTAAAGAAACAAGCATAGGGGGCTGGTGAGATGGCTCAGTGGTTAAGAGCACTGACTGCTCTTCCAGAGGTCATGAGTTCAAATCCCAGCAACCACATGGTGGCTAACAACCATCTGTAATGATATCTGATGCCCTCTTGTGGGGTGTCTGAAGACAGCTACAGTGTACTTACATATAATAAATAAATAAAAATTTAAAAAAAAAAAAAAAAAAAAGAAACAAGCATAGAGAAAAAGTATTTTATACATATGATTATTGTAACATGAAGCAGAGAATTACTGAGTACAGTGTAGAGTATCCTCACTTAAGAAAAATAAATTATATAGAGAGATCCGTGTGTGAAAATGAAGAAAAAAAAGTAGAAATGATACAAATGCTGTATTCATGTATGAAATTCTCCAAAAAATTAATTCAAAACAAAAGAAAAAATGTTTTAAAACTAAACTGTGGTAAAGAAAACAACAGCTAATTCTCATATAAGCTGACCTTTGTATGTATTTGTAATATTAATGATGATATAGTAAGTCACTTCCCCTTTTTGCAAAAAGATTAGTATACTGCATGAATACCAGGTATAGGAGACATCATTTATAAATTTGTTTTCTCACATTAAAAATAAGGAAAAAAATTACTTTGAGCCGTACCTATCCCATAAGTTTGTCGTAATAGAATTACGTTAGTATTTTGTAAGCTACAAAGCTTGACATAAACAGACAGACGCATGAGAACAGCAATGTAAAGAACCCAACTTAGGAATGTCAGGAAGCATGGAAGGCGGGCAAGGTCAGGCTCTCTCAGGTCAAATTCATACAGAATAGAAAATGGAGTGCTTGGAGCAGAAGGTAACTCGTGAGCAGTAAACACCTCCATCACAAGAGCTGGGCACCTCCTACGGCACAATGGGAAGTAGGAAGACCACTGCATTGCTTGGATGCTTATATGTTCTCCAGGACTCAGCCTGAAAGATGCTTGCAGATGAAGGAGTTCCCATCTAAACAATAAATCTCCATCTTGATTTACTCTCACCAGTTAGAAGGAGTAATCTTCCTCCTAAAACTTTTATAAAAGGTGCAGACTTTTTTCATTAAACTTCTAAGTGTGAATATATTTTCTGGAAGGGAATACAAAATATGGAAGCCAAGGCTACAGGCCTCACTCACGTCCTCAGATGGGGGCCCTCTCTAGGACACTCTTGCTTCTTATTCAGTCTTCACGTGTCAATCTTAAGATGGACCCCAATACAAGAGAGGGATGGAAACTGGTGAATCCTTAGATCAATGAAGCTTTTGAAATCATTATAGTAAGCGCTGAAAGCTTTGATTTGCCACATGGAGAATTTTGTGAATAAACACAAAACCAGACACGTCCCCAGTAATCTATGCCAATGGTGTGCAGTCCTGAATTGCCTAGGACAATTACCGAATATGTTCTCACATAGTGTTCTTCTCTTAATTCACATATCACTAGACATTTTCTAAGAGTGCCAGCCCTATTAGTATACAGGGTATGGGTGTGCTGTTGCCTACGAGGCCCCAGTTTTTCTTCCCAAGGGAGTCACTAAACAACGCCTCCAATTCTCCCAAAGTCACTATGACCCCTCACAGCCTGCTCCGGGCTCTTCAGAATAAAAAGGCTCCAGTAATTGCATGACTAAAAATGTCAAGATGTCTTTAAATTATTTGACTAATATTCATCTTGTCACTATGGTTGATCTGATTACTTAAAACTTTTTATTTAGACTCACATTAACTCATGAGCCTAGAGAATGGAACTCAGCTCCCTTCCTCCAACTCCCATGCTTTGGATAGGGCGCAGTCCCATTGAAAAATCAGGAAAAACTTAACTCATCATAACCACAATTAGCCATGTTTCTTTCCTTTCCTGTACCCATGCACCCAAAGGTAAAATATTGACTTGGTGTCACAGTTAAATTTGAACTTCATGTCCATGCCATAACTAAGTCATAAGTAGTCAGCTGAAGCCAACATGGCTAATGACCTCTCTCACGGTGCCATCTTGTCTTGTCATCCTGCTGAAGAGTAAAGTAGCTGAGTTGGTTATAGTAAAGCCTTCCCTAAGGTATGGCTTACAACTCGAGGATTTTAGAAAAGCACCTGTGTTAAGTGGGAGGCCAAAGTCATGCTTCATAGAGCACCATGGTTTTAGGGTGACCTGCTGTATACATTAATGGGATGTACACAGCTTTTGTTTAACTCAAGCTCTACAACATAAAACCTGTGTTAAACTTAAAAGGAACACGTATTGGTTTATCTATTGGGTATGAAAATCATATTCCTGTTTCTCATTTTGGTTTGTATGCTATAGGAGGCTTCAGTAACTCCTTTGTGTCTTCCTTAGAAGACAAAGGGAAGATAAAAGCCTCCAGTTCCAGTCAGCCCTCAGGCTCAGAAGGAGGCTCCTTTCTCCTCAAATCCGGCACAGCACCTCTGCCACTTGGAGCCATTGCTTCTCCCTCCAAGAGCACAAACGGAGCTCCGGGGTCTGTTGCTGAGTCAGAAGAAGAAAAAGCCAAAAAATTACTCTACTGCTCACTATGCAAGGTGGCTGTGAACTCCCTGTCACAGCTGGAGGCTCACAATACAGGTAGATAGCTGCTATCTTTGCACTAAATAATGTTGACAACTGAACCCACCTCTTCCCACCAGAATATCACATCTGTTGTTCTCTCTCCTCCCTCTTCCCCCCATCTCTCTCTCTCTCTTTCTCTATCTCTCTTTTCCTCTGGAGTGAATTTAGGAAAATATGGTCAAAATTACTGAAAATTGCAAAGCCAAAGTAGTGTGGAGACAAACGTATTCTTTATTTCATTAAAAGCATCTAATACTTACCAAAAAAATCATTTTGTCGAAGTGATGGGGATAGAGCCAAAGATGTATAGAGTGGTCACTGCTATGCACTCATGAGATGAGACACACACACACACACACACACCAAAACAACGTTAAAATTCATCAGTAATGAAATTCAGAATATATTAGAGTAGCCCAATGTGATAGAATATGTTACTCAGATATTAAAATTAATGAAAAGAAAACATGTACATGGGCTAGACATGGTGGTGCATGTCCATAATTCTAGCATTCAAGAGGCTCAGGCAAGAGAATCACAAATTTGAGGCTAGCATGGTCTGCAAGGTGAGTTCAAGGCCAGCCTTAGATATAGTAAGACCCTGTCTCTAGGAAAAGAAGGAGGAAGAAAGGAAGTGGAGGAAAGGGAGAAGGAGAGAGGAGGGGAGGGAGAGAAAGTGACTGAAGAGGGGAAGGGAAAGAAGGGAAGAAAAATAAAATAAAGGGATTCTTAGAGTTCATTTCTTTGTTTGTCTTATTTAGGTAGGGTCCCACGAAGCACAGGTTGGCTTTGGATTTGCTGCATAGATGATAATCTTGAACTTCTGCCTCCACTTTATAAGTACTGGGCTTACAGGCATGCAGAGATAATGAAGAGCTGGGGCTCAATCACAGGTCTTCACACCCCTGGACAAGCACTCCGCCAGCTGAACCCTACCTCCGCATACATACACACATGGAGTTCTTCAATGGCTGCTAAATATATACCTCTTTCTTTTTAGGATCTAAACACAAGACCATGGTTGAGGCTCGTAACGGAGCTGGTCCAATTAAGTCCTATCCAAGACCTGGGTCAAGATTAAAGGTGCAGAATGGCAGTAAGGGCTCAGGACTACAGAACAAAACGTTTCATTGTGAAATCTGTGACGTTCATGTGAACTCAGAGATTCAACTCAAACAGGTAAGGTAGCCCAAACTAGACAATAGCCACCGTGTTAGGGTACCACTTGTCAGTCTATGGCTCCTCATCTACGAATGGTTCCCTGTGTGCTCAAGGTTAAATTTAATAGGCGACAATCTGCAACATGCAAGTGCTGTGTCGAAGAGAAGGGCTTTAACCTATAGCTGAGCCTGCACTTCCTACCTCTCAGCTTCCAGCCCCAGTGCTAGAGACAGACAGACAGATGTGCACCAAGTTCCCAAGCAAGTGCAGTGCATCGGGAGCCAAAGGTCCTGTGAAGCTTGTGTCCCAAGCACTCAAGGGCTGGTCAAGGAAGACAGGCTTAGTGGTGGCCGTGGCAACCCAGGGGGCTCGGATGACTAGAGAACACTAGGGCAGGGACACTGGGCTAGAAGGAAACATCCTCTCTGCAGGGGATCCGAAAGACATTTTTACCCAAACCACCTTAGAATGTGGGAATGGAGAAATCAGCTCTCCTGGTCTAGGAAACGAACATTCCAGAGAGTCAGCTAATGAGCCGTACTTCTTTCAGCACATTTCAAGCCGAAGGCATAAAGACCGCGTGGCAGGAAAACCGCTGAAGCCGAAATATAGCCCCTACAACAAGCTCCAGAGGAGCCCGAGCATCTTAGCTGTAAGTTCCCTCCGTGCTCCTGTCCTTGCTGGCTTGGATGGTGGTCAGCAGGAGAGCCTCTAGGGACAAGTGAGCACTAGACTCTGGGAGTGATTAATTCTTTGTTTGCTTGTTTGTTTATCGTTTAATTGGCTGGGCTAGGGATCTAGTCCAGAACTTCCTACCTCCCAAGCAAGAGTTCTACCACTAAGCTAAAGATTTCATGGGAGAGAAGGTCTTGATCCTTGGTGGTGCCTGTGTAGAGATCAGAGGAAAACTCTCCTTCTGTTGTGTGGGTACAGGGATCAAATTCCGGTTGTGAGGCCTGAAACACAAGCACATGTATCTACAGAGCCCTGCCAGGGTAGGCAGGAGATGCCTTTACCTGCTGAGCCATCTCTAACAGGTCCAGAGATGTTGGAATGAAGTGCTTAATTCCTGCTACAGGGTACCTTAGGACAGCAAAATGGAGTCTCTTTAAAAGCCGGTGTCTTAGTGCTGAAGAGAAGACAGGTTAAGGGCACTTGCTGCTTTTTCAGTGAACCCAACTGTGGTTCCCAGCATTCAGGACTAGCAGCTCACAGCAGCTCCAGGGGATCTGACACTTGAGAGCATTGAAGGCATCTGCACACACACACACACACACACACACCACAAATACACCACACACACACACACCACAAATACACCACACAAACACACACACACATACAATTAAAATGAAAATATATATTTTTTAAAGGGCTAATGTCAAAGATGACCTTCTGTAAGTAAGGAAGAAAGCCAAAGGCCTACAACAAGAACAAGTGGGGGATTCTGGGAAGTTTCAGACTTGGAATGTGAGGCTACTTTTGTGACAAAAATCCATACATTTCGTATCTCCCTACTTTCTGGTATGCGTTTATATCCATATGAACACGTTCATATTGCTTTCTGTTCATGTTGGTAATCAGCCCGACCCACCCGCTCTCAATATATCCTGTTTTCAGTCTCTTGCACAAATACCTAGGGACTTCAGCAACAGATATCATATAAATACACAGATGGATGGATTCACAGTGTCCCTGGTACTGGGTCTAACATGGTCTTCAATCTGAGGGAAAGTGAGCTAGGCCAGCTGAAGGCGATCTTATATTACCTTCTAAGCAACCAGTGGATGCTGTAAGCAGGTGGTACCTGTATTAAGCAGTTTGCCACACAGCCCCTGCTGATTGCAAAGACAGAAATTTAGGATTGATTTCTTCCTGGGAAGCATCCACACTGGATTCCTTCAAGTAGAGAAGGTCTCTAGCCCACTTACAGTCACCATCAAGCACTGAATGTGATTTAGGTATAATTTTTTTTTCAGAGAATGCTCATCAGGTGGACAGTACAAGAAGTACAAATTGGTTTTATGTTCTCATGTCCTGGGTCCCTCAATTACCTAACATCAATACAGTGTGTCTAAGAGAAGTGAAAGGAAGAGCCACATTTCTCAAAACCCAAAACTGAACATGTTGGATGTTATGGCGCATCCAAAGACAAGCTCAAGGCCAGCGTAGGCAGCAGACCTCTCCAAGTCACATGGTTTTTGGGTCGAGCTGCTCGCCTAAGCAGGACCCTTCTAGGTGTCTCTCCAGAGACTACAAGAGCTGTAGTATCAAAAATCAAGCCACACCCAGAGCCCCTGAACCCAGTGACAGCCATCTCATGACTTCTTAAAGTCAAGATGTTGAAAATCCAACTTATGGCTCTGTAGGAAAAATCTCTGTGGCATCGTGCCTCGTAAACAGTATTCTCACCCCTTTCCCGGTTTTCATCCCTTCTTTAGGCAAAGCTTGCATTCCAGAAAGATCTGATGAAGCCTCTGGCCCCGACTTTCCTGTCTTCTCCCCTGGCGGCCGCAGCTGTGTCCTCTGCGCTGTCCCTGCCTCCTCGGCCATCCGCCTCTCTCTTCCAGGCTGCAGCCATCCCTCCTGCGCTGCTGAGGCCTGGCCACGGACCCATCCGGGCCACGCCCGCCTCCATCCTCTTTGCCCCTTACTAAACACTCGGAGCCCGTGACAGGCCAGGCCAGTGGGAAGGTATAGAAGAAAAGCCCAAAGGATTCAGCAGTGTAAGCCCTGTGTGTGACTGTAAGTACCCTACCCATCCACTTACAAAGTGCAGGCCACCGCCCAGCCCCACCTCCAGAGACAAAGGGAGGCCAGGCTCAAGGGCGTGTCTCTTCCCTTGCCCTCTCCATCTTACCCCAGCCAATTGGTGTATCTGAGATACTTAAGTTTCTTGAAAATATATTGATCAGTAAAAGAAAACTGACCTGTGTATTCCCATGGTGTGACGATCTGGCTTAGAAACAAAATGGAATCTCTTCCTGACAGACTTGAACAGTAGGCTCTTCCTCGGATGTCTGTAAATAACTCCAGAATCCAAGCGGGCATATTCTAGTGTGGAACAAAAGTCCATCGCAAGTGCTTAGTTGTGGATACCATCTTCCCCACGGCTCATGGCGGTTTTTTGTTTTTCTTTTCTGGTGTTCTAGTGTCCACAGGGATTGTGTACTGTTCTAGACCCGAGTACTGTTGTACCCCGTGTAGTACTAGATCGTAACTCTCGTTGAATTAAACTTTTTTTTTATTGCTGTGTAATTGTTAGGAAGCAAAGTAGCTTTGAAATTTTTTCTCTTTAAGAGAACAAAAGATAATGTATTTTCTTTATTTCATGTTTTATTTGGAGATATTTAAACGAAATAGAAAGCCATATAACATAGCTATAATTACTACCTGTTTGCTATTTTTGTTTTAACTTATTTTTGTAGCATCCTCACTGGTTTGAGTTGCTAAGCAAATGTATACAAAAACAAAAAGAGCTTCCGAAATTGTACATTTTTGCACCTTCTGTGCATCTGCAAGAAGACAGTGAATTCGTGTATTTCTACATAACAATCTTCATTTTAAACCTCTGTTTTTCATTGGTAACGATGCTACATAACTCTGTGGCTCCCTGATGCAATAATGTACAGAAGATATATAATTTATAAATTGAACAATCTGTCTTTCTGTTCAATGACTGTGTCACAGGTCATGTGACCATGCTTCCCCTTCTCCTACCCCTACCCTCCCTACTCCCCTAAAAAATCTGATATTAAGAAGACTGGAATGTTTGTGATATCAGGGGCAAGAGGTATCATAAAACAACAACACAGAGTGAACTCTTTAGAGGGCCTATATCTGCAATCTGTAAATGGTAAAATGTCTGTGTATTTTTTTAAATGTACCTTTTCAATAAAAGTACAAAAAAAAATCTGCTGGTGTTTCCTGCTGTCTTTTCTCAGAAGACTCCTATAATTTCACATTACCTGTTGAGAGCTTGTCAAATAGGGAGGACTGCCTCTTATATTTCACACTTTTGCAAGCGTTCTTAATTGTCATGTTTATTCATTGTTGTTCACAGAGTCTGTGTGAGGGCAGGCTTATCCACCACTTTCTCCTGTCTGAAAAGCTTGGCCAAAGTAACATTGTCCAAAATGGTAGCAGCCTGCTAAAACCTGTGACTCTGGTTTCTTAGGACTTTGTGCAGGTCCTCTAAATCTCGAATTCATTTTTTATCCTGTCAGTGACATTTGGTCTCTTATAGTGCCGTGCCCCTGACTGGACCCTCCCTCCAATCAGGACATCCCATTCTCTCACTTTTTAAGCATAACATTTAATGAATCTCTGTTTATTCTGATGAGCTATTTGCTTCTTTGCCAACTAAAACTGTAACTTAAAATAACAACCGTTTTATTACATCAGGATTTCACAGGCTGATAATTCCAGAGGGCATTTGACTGGGCTATGCTTGTGTTCCCTCAGGGATCATCAGAGTTCCCTTGGCCATAATCTGGCAGGAGCTGAGGTTGGGCGGGGCTGGGGCTGGGGAGCAAGCGGGGAGGGCTGGCTTTGGGCCTGGGCTGAAGCTAGGCTAGGGTTGGGCTGGGAGGGGGCTGGGCTGGGCTGGGGGTGTGACTAGGACTGGGGAGGGGTTGGGCCGCCGGGGAGGGGCTGGGGATGAACTGAGACTGGGTTGGGGCTGGGGCTTGGGCTGGGCCTGGGCTGGGGCCGAGGAAGGGCTGGGGCTGGGTGGGCCTTGGCTGGCTCTGGGACCCGGAAGGGGTTGGGCCGGCCGGGGAGGGGTTGGGCTGGGGCTGGGGATGAGCTGAGGTTGGATTGGGGCTGGGGCTACCCAGATAGCTTCACTGGCCTGTTCACCACTGTGAAATGACTAGCTTGGACTCTACTGAAAACAGTCTGCCAGAAATGTATGTGTGGCCGCCCACATCTTTCCTGTTGAATCAGACACTTACAAGGTGCATTTTAAGATACCTGGCTAGGAGTTAAAGGCTTCTTTATGAATCTTGGCAAGTTACTTATGCCACTGTATACCCGTCCAAAAACAAAAAAAAACAAAAACAAAAAAACCAACCACTAAGCTCATCCTGATGAAGGGAGGAACACTAGACTTCAGTTGGTAAATACAAACACGAGCAAAGAATAGCCACCACCTTTAATCTGTTACACTATTGGACAATTTTGAGGGGAAAAATGGTAACAAAACTAAAACTATTTATAGATCTTCTGTCTTCATACCCTGAGTCCAAACCCCATTATTCTTTGAAATGGAGACTTGGGTTAGAGTTGGAAGTAAATATTCTTTTCTTTTTCTTTTTCTTTTTCTTTTTCTTTTATCGGGTATTTTCTTTATTTACATTTCAAATGTTATCCCCTTTCCTGGTCTCCTCCCAGCCCCCCATCCCACCCCCTCTGCTTCTATAAAGGTGTTCACCCACCCACTCACCCACTCCAGCCTCACCCTCGCATTCTTCTTCCTACACTAGGGCATCGAGCCTTCACAGAACCAAGGGCCTCTTCCCTAATTGATGACCAACAAGGCCATCCTCTGCTACATATGCAGCTGGAGCCATGGGTCCCTCCATGTGTACTCCTTGGTTGGTGGTTTAGTCCCTGGGAGCTCTGGAGGGTCTGGTTGGTTGATATTGTTGTTCTTCCTATGAGGTTGCAAACCCCTTCAGCTCCTTCAGTGCTTCCCTTAACTCCTCCATTGGGGACCCCATGCTCAGTCCAATGGTTGGCTGTGAGCATCCTCCTCTGTATTTGTCAGGCTCTAGCAGAGCCTCTCAACCAAAGCCAGTAAATGGCAGTGTCGCTGTGATGGATGCACAGTAAATGAGCAAATGGCTTCTTCTATTGAAGAGCTCATCCAACTGTCTGAAGGTTGTGGACCTTAACATCTTATGCTTATAAGCAGGCTACTTCTGAAGCATCATAGAAGTCTAGTGTGACATTCAGAATTTGAATTTTGTTTGGCTCTATCCAACACTACTTAAAGTTGTGTAATTTGACCTGGAAATTTGATTGATATATGCCATATTCTGTGAAGGAACTCTGTTTCCATTTGACACTCTGCAGAACACACACATATATGTATATAATATTTCTGGACTTCAGTGGCAGTTTTCCGTGATTTACCTGGCCTTGTCCTATGTCTTGTTGAAGCTTATTGCAACCCTCAGAAATTTCCAAATGTCAGTATTTAAATAGACCTAGAAACTTATTGATTAGATTTAGAGTTGAGAGTTTTAAATCACCCCAAGGAGTAAGCACAAAAGAATAGCAATTCATTAGAATTCATGCCTCTGAATGAAGCCATGAGTAGCTTCAAGCTATGATTTATGAAACACTATTAAGTGGGCCACATCTCATCATCCACTCTGGAACTGAAGTGTCAGAGTCGGGCAGCCCCAAGGGAATACACATATTTGAACTAATGCCTCCTCATATGTCACTGCTAAAGGAAAAAGATGACTACTGAACTTTGCCAACTATGCAAGTTTAAAACAAAACAAAACATATGCTGCAGAGAACGGGAGAGACTGAGGCAGGAAAATTAGAAGTGCTGGATAGTTTAAAGTCCCAGTCAGCTTCACAGCTCTGGGGCAGCCTGAGCTGCAGGTGACCCTGCCTCAAAAGATGAGACAAAACAAAAACACCCTGCTTCCCCTGACATACTCCAGATATAACTGGTATGCTCAAGGGTAGCCAGAGAAGGTATAAAATACTTAGTTAAATTTGAATATAAAATAAGACACAAGTAAGTCTACTATAGTGTTTGCTTTTAGTGTACAGTTTCATATGCTATTGCCTACAGTGTATATATGTCTTATAAACAAGTATGTATTATTGGGGACATACATCTACTAAAAGATTAGCTAGCTGCTGTTTATCTGAACATGTAGGCATCTCATGCTTTCTAAATCTCACGGCCTTTTTCTCTGCAGGATCCCTTCTCACCTCGAGTGCTATGGTGCTTCAGGAGAGAAGGCCCTCCTGGGTACTAAAAACTCAATAATGAGTTTTTGTAAACAATGTTGTGAAATATATTTGCAAAGTGGCAGAAGGAACCAGCCTTAAGTGAATAAGCAAGGGATAGGAACAGCACGGAAACCACTACAGATACACATGCCCTGTATGTTACCTATACTGAGAATCAGTTTGACAGATTTTAATTAATTGGAAGAAGAAAACACAAAATACTAATTTTTGTATATATCAAGCATATCACCTTGATTCTCCCCTAAGAGAATTCTCATTTCCCAAGGACGAACTAGCTGCAGCTATGCAGAATTTTTCTCTCAGAAAGTGCTTTAGCTAAGGTGTTGAGACAAAGAACAATGGCAATACAAAGGTTTGCTATGCTGAGATTCACAAAGGAGTCCAGAGAATCACTGAAGAGATTGTATTTGGAATATTGTGAGAAGTAGGTACCCATTGAGTGTAGAATCATGGAGAGAGGAGGGTGAGCCAGGGTTTCTGAGAACTTCAGCTGAGGTGAGCATCTAGACACACGCCCTACACAGGCCAGCCTCTCGCCTCTCTGTACCTGCTTTGGGATTCTTGTCTTCTTTGGAAAGCAGTAGTTTGGGTACCTCAGTGGGTATGCTGTGTACTGCAAGGGCTGGGTCCACAAGGGATGCTAGTCTTTGCAGAAAGCTGAGTAATTGGCTCCGTCGGGAAATGCATCAGGACCATGACCATGCAGGTTCTTGGCTATGGAGTGTGACTGGGGAATTGCCCTCATTTCTTTGGCTGGAAATTTCTTAGGCCAGAATGACAATATAATGTTGTTCTTCACTCAGCTCAGTGTTCAACATGAATCAAAACTAAGGTTGTCAGAGAGAATTCCTTCTGTGGGTACAGTGAGGATGTCTTTATGTCACTTTCTTTAGTTAAAGAAGTCACTTATCCACACGCGATTGGACAAGCTTGCCGTTAAGCACCTGTTCTTCATTTTATTGTGGTGAGAAGGCAAAATGGGACGAGAGAGGATTGGATAACAGCAGTGTGTAATCTTTATAAGCCCGAAAGTCAAATCCTGGTCACACCAGGCACATATTAGGTCTATGGTTTTAAATCACAAAAAGATCTTATAGCCATTTTCCTAAAGCCTGCTTTTTTTAAAATCTCATATAAACATGTGCTATTCAAAGAAGATGGTTCTAATGAGCAAATAAAATTAAGAGGGGAAAATGTTTTCATAAATTAATAACATACTTTATAAATTTTCATTATGAGTGAAGTCAATTTTTCTCATTCGCAATTCCTAAATTGTTTCTAGGGTTTTTCTCATGTTTTATGTCTTTAATGGTGACACAGACTCAGAGAAAAAAATAGAGCAGTAATGGAAAACAGCAAATTCATTAGTTGTAATTTTTATGTTCCTATTCTCAAAGGTATAATTCAAATAGAGTTAACGCTAATGTAATAAACCAGTATATCACTGGCAGCTTCTCAGAAAAGAAAAGGGTGTTAGATTTATTACATAAAAATTCTACACATTGTTTTTCTTTTTCTTTTTGAAAAATGGTCTCACTGTTTGGCTTAAGCTGGTCTCAAACTCAAAGCCATCCTGCCTTGGTTCTAACGGTTATGCTGAAGAGACCAACCCTTAGATTTAAGATCTGAGGAGGTCCACATGCAAATAACCAAATGTTTTTCAGTAACTCAGAAGAATTTGGAATGCCCTGGGCATCTATTTGGTTTTGTCCCCTTCGCAAACAAAATCCTACCATAAACCGTAGTTTAAAAGTAAAAGAGAGAAAGCCAGGATTAGTTTTGATGTGTATGAAGACCTGGCAAGTCACAATTGGAGAATGCAGGTTTTCTCTGAGAACACCTTGGGGCAGTGTGCCTTGGGTGTTGACAGACATAAGCTCATCCTTCTGCCATGGTTCTAGAAACATGGAC